GGATACGACTTTGGGAATTCGGGACTAGGATTTAGGGCTTAGGTTTTCAGAAAAGGGACGGGGCTTAGAGTTCTGGGTAGGGATTGGGGGTTCAAGGGCCCAGGATTTCGGTGCATTGGGTTCAATTCGGGAGGGTGGGGAGCGTTTCCAAAAGCTCAGCGGGCGCTGCGGCGTCTTATCCGCGGACTCGAAGAGCTTCGACAGTGTTTGAGCAGAGCCGGATCCGAAATACTCAACCCCCAACCCCATGACTCCTCCACCTGGCCCTTATAAGTCGCCAAAACAAATCAAGCCTAAAAGCCCCACACTTCCAACCCCTCCAACCTAAGCTCCCGAAAGGTAGGGCTGCTCTAGCCTGAGACTCTTTGCAGTACTCGATGTCTAGATGTCTATCATTCCTAGTTGATCCCACCTTCCAGGAAGGGCAGGAAGGAAGACCCCGACGTAGACCCAGTGGTTTGCCCAAAGCCCACACACTACCAAACATCACAATTTGAACCTGGCACCCAAACCCGAAACCGGACCCTATCCCTCCCCATCACTGCCCGGCGGGCCAGAATGCCGAGATCTGCGCCGCAGAGATATCCCAGGTCGCCTTTGCGACCTTCCCATCACTCCATGAAGAAAGGGTGGGGACTCACTACATGCTCAAGTGTGTACACACGTCTCCAAGTTAACTTGGCAGCGCGAGCCGGTCCCAGTCATGTAGGGTTTAGGGCTCTAGGAGTTTCAGGGTTCCTTAAATGGTTTAGGGTCTCTATAGGGTTTAGAATTTAGGGTTGAAGGTTTGGGTTCGTGTGTTAGGTGGGCGTTTTGCTTGGCGTCGATTCTGCGAAGTTGGCAGCCTTCAGCAGGTGATTTGACCTTTTGCTCCTTGTTTCTGGTGTCTGTGCAGTAAACTCAATCTAAGATACAACCATCAGTATAACATATTGGCTACTAGCTTAATTCTTCAAGTTCTCCCGTGGACGTGCAGGCCGCGTCCAAGCTAAGGGCTGTAAACCCTAAACCCGAACCTCTAGCCGCTAGAGGTTTCCAAAGGATGGCTCTGCTAGATGTGGAACTCGGTTTAGGGTTTAGGGTTTAGGGGTTTAGGGTTCCGGGGAGGTTTCATGGCCATGAACTCGGTTTAGGGTTTAGGGTTTAGTCGGCATAGGAGCAGGGATTCAGCTTCCGGCCTTACATACACAGAAACGTCCACAGTAGGAGTATTTGGAATGTGAATCTCCACGAACTGCGGTTAACCCAACCAAGACCCCACATCCCCTAAAACGCCTTAACCCCCCTTCGTAAAGTATGGTATATGACAGGAAACCTACGGCATGTTACTCCCAATTGTTCCGACCTCTTTGCTATTTGACGAACGTAGACAGACGGGCGCTTCTCAGAATACTTCGGCAAAGGTGAGAAACTCCTCTAAAGGATCCCGATCCTTCATCATGATACGAGAATCTCAATACCTTGGCCTATAGGCTTTGGGGTCTAGTTGATTGTTAATCCGTCTTTAGAGTCTTTAAAGAATTTTTAGAGTCTATACGCGGACTAGTACAAGGGACGTTGTACATCGGCCTTAGCAATTTGGAAAAGGCTTTGGAGTCTATTTTGTAGTAGAGCTGAGGGGCTGTAGGGGCAATTATGATGTTCCCAACAGCGCTAGCCCTGTTGGCCTCGGAATACTGATCCTCGTAGCACCTGCGTGGCAGTTTCAATGTGACCGGCTTAGGCTGTCTGCATGTGCGAGGAAGGCCCGCCCTGAAACCTCGACAGAAAGCTGTAGGGCGACAGTGGTCAGGGAGTTGAGTTGCGGAAAAACTTGGCACGTTCGGCTTGGGGCTTTCGGCTGGGCTGCTTCTAGCTCGATTCCGAGATGGACGAGTTCGAATCGCCTCGTTTTGGATGTAGCATCTTGAGAGATCCTACCCTAGATCCCAACATAGCAGGACCCTCATTCTCAAAAACGGCCGTAAACCCTAAACCCTATGAGCCCCATAAAACCCTAAACCCTATGAGCCCTCAGAAACCCTAAACCCTATGAGCCCTATAAACCCTGGACCCTGTGAGCCCTTAAAACCCCTAAACCCTATGAGCCCTACAAGCCCTAAGCCCTAAAGCTCATTCATCAAGCGCAAGATCGGGGAACCAGCGGAAAGTGCTCGAAGCTTCCGGCTCGCGCGGTTCAGGTTTTAGGCTCCCTTACAGGAGCCTTTTTTAAGGAGCCTTTTAAAGGAACCCTTATAGTCTAGGGTTTTCCATGTCTGTCACAAGCTTAACGCCGAAATTCCCTGAAGTCGGGCATCGTAAACTCCGATCTTCGACAGCAAGAGCCCTAAACGTCTCATCCGACAAGGGCGGAAAGCGGCTTTGATTCCAAGGGCCACAAGGCTCAGCACCCATCTTCTGCACGTGACTTCGCATGACCCATGACCCTAAACCCTAAACCCTAAGCCCTAAACCCTAAACCCTAAACCCTAACCCCTGAACCTTCTAAGTTGTGGTGTCACTTGGAGTTTCCTCTGCGATCTATACGTAATACTCCCTGCCGACAAGGGCTCACAATTCGGAACAGAACCCTATGTTCATGCTGCTTCAGTATACCCTCCTCGGAGTCATCCTCGAAGTCGCGGCTGGCCCTGATGGAAAACCCATAAATCCTGCAGCATCGATTGCGGAATCCCGCAACTCAAAAACTCGACCCTCGGCCCAACCCTAGCTCCCTGAAGCCTACATGTTGAAATTGAAACTGCAGCCAAGGGTCGTCAAGCTAGCGGACCGCCTATGAGCAGGCTTGCTTTGGGCACTGTAGGCGTCAGCTTTGGTGCTCGCAAGTTCAAGTGCCAGGTGCACCGGGTTCAAGGTTTAGGGTCGAGGGCAGAGTCCGGGAAACGGACTTCTAGTCCGTAACTGTATGGGATTCAGGGTTGCGGTTCATACTGTTGATACACTTGATGATAAGATTGCGTAACTACCGCTACCACACCGCTTGTACATAAGCTTTTGATCCGTGGCCCCACAGCACCGGCGATGTTCCTGTCACCGGCTCTCCCGCAGGCCGGGAAGCTGAGGACGGCTTATCATAGGTATAGGGGAAGGAGGCCCCAAACCCGAAGCCGGAAAAACCGGGAGCCTTCATCCCGAAAGCTTCATGGCTCTATCTGTATGTGTATATATACATATATACATATACATATATATATATATATGTAATATATCTAATATGTATGTATATATACTATATTGTATAGTGCGTGTGTATATTATATATATATATATGTGTGTGTGTGTGTTATATTGTATTACAATATACTATATTATTTTATATTATACTACATTATACTTCATTATACTATGTTGTATTATGTTATATTATGCTATACTATCTTATACTTCACTATACTATATTATATTATATTGTATTATTAATATAAGAATTATATGATATATACATGTATACACATATTACAAACCCGAGAATACCCCTGAACAGTGCGGAAATATTGCAGAGGCTTCCTAAGCATCCGACACAAATGCCGGCCCGAGCTGCACGATGCACCAGTGAGGTTGCCAGGTGTCTCGGAGTACGGCACACCGCTTCCTGGGCTCTCCGGCTTCCGGCTGGCTCAAAGGCAATAGCAAAGACACACAGCAACAAACAGTTTAGGGTTTAGGGTTTTTCGCATTTAGGGTTGAGGGTTGAGGGTTTAGGGTGCTTAGCGCAAGACCTGTTGACCACAACGTAATACGGGCTTACTGCGCGACCCACATACCGTGCCGTCGCAAGACAACGACACTTGCAGCACTAGCGGCTGCAGCCAGCCGCTGCATGCCACCGTCGTGGAGTCGCGGGGTTCCATGTCGTGAGCCGTGCATACAAAGAGCTTTGGGCTTTGGGCTTGGAGGCTCCGGGGCTTGTTGAGATGCTCTCTGGCCTCTAAGGTTTACGGTTTGGTATCTAGGTCTTGCTTGGCTTTGAGGAACTATTGGCTTGGGGAAACAGTCGTGACTTGGGGTAGAAGTTTCCTCGCTGCGCAGCGGCACAGCGGGAGAGAAACACGACGAGCAGTTGGGGGCTTGGGGGGTTTGGGTGGGGTGCAATTGCACAGGTGATAACTGAGCCGGCAGCGACGTCGCAGCGAGTCTATGGGAGCAGCTGGGGGAAGGCTCTTCTTTGGGTGAATCCTGACCTGCTCGAATCATGGATGCTTGGAGCATCTTAGCCTTCAGGCCTCACCTCGATGCTACAAGAAGCTACAGAAGCCATAAAAAGTGTAAAGTCCCATCAAGACATCTGGTGGACTCCAGGGGTCGAGAAAACCCTAAACCCTAAGCTCCAAATGGACAGCGTTATCAGGTCTGGGCAGGGTGTTCAGGTTGATGGAGTCAGGTCGAGATTCGGGTGGGGCTTGGAATCCCTAAACCGTACGATCCGCCAGAGCTTTCTCTCGAAACCTCGAAGCCCCGAGACCGTTTGAAGCTTTAGGCCTTTGGTCCCAGGCTGCACTCCTGGGCATTCCTTGTAATATAGGGGCATTGATAATTAGAGCAGGGTTTGGGGGTATGTTACAGTATCCTATAAATATATAACAAGGAACCCTCAAAGACCCTATTCTAATTATTAAGGCCCCTAAATCCTAAACCCTTATAGTAGCCCTTATAGAACCCTTTAAGGGACCCTTTAAAGGACCCCCAAAACCCTATTCTAGTTATTAGGGCTCCTATAGTATCTCCTCTCCCTTGGCGTGGTTTGAACTCAGGCTGGGAACTTGAAACTCGGGACTCGAGGCCTGCCTAGTCTGGCCTCGCTACAAGTAAGTTATAATGTCTTCTATCAACAGCAGTAGTAACAACCAGAGTAGCAACAATAATCCAAACAAGACTACTTATGACAAGCTGTAACCACAATAAATAAAAAATAAGATGAACATAGCCCTAACCCCTAAACCCTAAACCCTAAACCCTAAAAGAAGCAAAAGCCTGGACCTCCGAGGCTGCAAGGACCGGGCCGACACCCCAGGCTGGGCGGGCAATCCGAGGGGGCGCCGCAAAGCCACATGGGCTTGCCTAGCGTTTCTTTTTTTTTTGCTCTTAAGTGTTTAGGGTTTAGGGTTTAGGGTTTAGGGTTTCTTTAGAGGCGATGGGGGGTGTTTTGTTTGAACGCTTTTTTCCGCCCCGAGGGCTTCTAGGGTTCAGGGTTTAAGTAGGGGTTGAGGGTGCTAGGGTGCCAAGGGGTCAGGATGTAGGGTGCCAGGGTGAAATACGGTTGACTTAAAACTTCTGCGATGAGTGGTGGATTGCAACAAAATTGCAAGTAATGTAGTTGAGGTGGGTTTAGGGTTTAGGGTTTAGGGCAAGTAATGTATTGAGGTGGGTTTCGCATCAACTTGAAGGCGTTCACAGAGTTGCCAAGACCTTGAGCTAGGACTTACACAACGTGATCGGCCTGTGGCTTGCGTGTCGGTGAAGCCGGAATGCATGGCATGATGTTGAAATCTGCCCTCAATCCTCCTGAAACCCAATCCCCTTGGGGCCGAAGCTGCATGCTGGGCGAGGTAGATGCAGGCGGCGAACAGTGCGATGGCCTTGGCACCAGAGGGTTCGGAACGAGAGAATGGGTCGACTAAGGCCCAGGCTCGAAGCCTACCGGCACACACAAGCGGAGCTAAATACACCCGAACAGCCTGCACACTCGAAACCCAAAACCCTAAACCCGAAAAAATCCCAAACCCCAAAAACCTAAACCCTAAACCAAAAACCCCAAAACCCAACACCCGAAGCCCCACTACCAAACCCCGAGCCCCAACAAACTTCCAGCGAAACTATGCAGCCCGATGCCGGACCCCGCCCCCTACCTCCAAAAAAAATGTACAAGGTTTAGGAAGTTCAGGGTTTATGCTAGATGTCCTCGGACCATCCACGCGCGAAGCACGCCAAGATGGGTTTAGGGTTTAGCATACCACGGCACGGAGCAAAGACAAGATGTCGAATTCGCATATTCCACTGTGCTGTGGTTTCAGATATCCGTTCCACACTGCATACATCAGAGGGTCAGGGTTTAAGGATCAATGTTCCAAAACAGACCATGTGTTTAGGGTATATAGGGATTCTATAAGGCTTCCAGGGAACTACCCACCTGAAAATGTCCTAGACCGAACACGGCCGAAGGAGACTGATGTCATAAGTAAGCCCTGCATTCCGAGCTGCGCGAAGGCCATTGGAACGCCGGGATGAAGGCAATGCCATAGCGGCAAGGCAGTCACAACTCTTAGAATATCACATGGAATATCACGTCAGGGGCAACCAACTTAAAAGTACAGCCTCGTGAGCTGAATCGCAGTGCTCCAATTTCAACCACCAAGCCAATGCAGTAGTCTCAACTGGTTCGGCCGGACCCTCTGCAACCAATCGTAGGATTTTGTCCAAATGGCTTCTGCCGGGAGGTGCAGACAGAAGTGTACCGATTGAAGCGCGGCAGGTTGCCCTGTGGGGCGAATATATAGGCGCCTCCATGACTAGAAAATATATAGTTTTGTTTTTTTGGGGGGAGGGTGGGTGTAGTAATATTCTGACATCTTGATACCATTCGGGTGTCTGTTCAGGCCTTCAAGGGAGCAGCACACCCAAGCCTTGAATGCCATAAAAAGCCATGAGAAAGCCTTAAGCCATGACCCCTAAAAGCCCTAGAATCAAAAAGTCCAAAGAAGGGGCTTCAGTAAGAATTAGAATAAGGGTTTTGGGGGGGTATGGTTTAGGTTTAGTATAGTTAGAACTGATAAGGAACCCTCAGAAATAGCGGTGGTCATCATGTAGGCCCCTATATTGAGTCCCGAAACACCAACTCCGAGCTATGTCTCGGAGTCTTTTCCATCGCCTGGTTCCAGGAAGCCGGAATGATGTTGGACTCGCAGGTCTCTGGAACGAACTTCTCAAAACGATCTCCACAATCCACGAGGCCATACAGGTTTGGGTTCCAGGGTTAGGATTGCACTCCTGGGGTGTACAACAACCATGCGTGATAGAACTTGTTATAAGATTCGGTCCCAAACGGGACCATCCTGATTTCGAGAAGTCCCCGGAGGAAATTGATGCCGCAGCCGCTGCTGCTTCCCATAGCTCGAAGATGTCGCTCTGTAGCCCCTTCAAACTCTCTGCCTCCAAGTCGATAAGCCCCGTGGACCTAGAATCGAACTAGCAGTGTGTATAGCCTTAGCCCTTAGATATATAATGTGTGAACATATATACATATAGCACAATTCTGACAAAGCTAAGGGGGCACTAATTGTAAATACTCTTGAACCCCTAAGCAACCCTACAAAAAGCCCAAAAGACAGCCTGTAAAACCCCATGAAACCCACCTGTTGAACTGGTTCGACTAATACAAGCGCTTTAATCGTTAGAATGAGGTTTTGGTGTATATCATACTATAATTGTGATAAGGAACACCCAGAATAGTATTGGTAATTATTAAGGTCCCTATGTTAACCCGTAAGCCGAGAAGCGACTCTGCAGGAAAGTAATTGACTTTAGGGCTTAGGGTTTAGGGTTTTGAGTTTAGGGTTGAGAGTTTAGGCTTTTTCAGGTTTTAGAGCTTCGGCTCGAAGGGTTTAGGGTGAAGTCAGGGAAGTCCCAGAGATAACCCTTGTGCTGGGAATGCCTGTTGTCGAGCCATTGGGAGGCCAAGCCTTTGCCCGGCCATTCTACGAAGCCTTTGAAAGGACATGGTGCGCCTGGCACGGACCTGCCTTCCTCTTCGACCTGCAAGATTTACATCTTTGAGAACACAGAAAAAACTTGAAGAGAAGCGAAAATACTCATGATGTCGTGCCGCGAGTCTGCTAAATCACGAGCATGTTCAAAGGCTGCCACACCGACAACGCCGTCGGCTGAGAAAGGGATGATTGCTGCCTCAAGCCCATATGCCAAAATCAGAGTCGCAAGCGGCGTGCTCACAAAGCATGGCTGGTGATAAGCCACGAATATACTTGCCCTAGACCCAGAGCAAACAAGTTGCGAAGCACCTGACGCCTGGGAGTAACATGTTGTGAATTTAAGGGTGCTTAATAGCTTGTGAAGCAACTCCACTGGGTGTCACCTAGTGACCTTTTGCTTAAAACGCTCAAGCCCCATCAGCCCCAACCCTTACGACTTACGAAGTTCCGGGCCTGTACACATGTCAGGCAGGCACATTTTAACCTCCCACAAATTATTTCGGGATCCCAACATCCAGCAGCCCTTGATTCTGCATGCTGGGCCGAGGCAGGGTGCATGCTTTGAAGCATCTATTGTCTATTGCGATTAGCTGAGGCGCGCCCCAACCAGGCGTGCCGCTTATGAGTTCTTGAAGCTTTACAAGTGTGGAGCACTCATACTGACTCATACATGTGTTTGCGGCAGTCGCATTAGGCCACAAATGGTGGGGAGTGGCAGGTGGTATCTGGGATGGCTCAGGCCTGCTGTTGTGGGTTTGGTGCTCAGGGTTCTGGCTGGCGGGCTTAGGGCTTAGGGTAGCAGCCAGAGACGTGATGTCGAAATTGTTGGAAACTCTGGCTTTAAGGCATCTGCCCTTCAACAAAGCTTGATATTTTTTTGGCTTACAGAAATCTAGCACGGACCAGCATCTAGAATCTAGATCAATCATCACCCGGGCCCTAATTATTCGGAAGCAGTTTCTGTGGCTATGATTACTGTCCAGACTTCTCGATGAAGAGGTCTTTCTCCTGCAGTACCTAGCCACCGAACCCCCGTGCTGAGCCTCAGCTGTCATGCTGGCTGCCAGCTGCAGACATCAGAACAACGCCCAGCAACTGCAAGGCAAACGCCACACCTCGAACATGGATGTCGGGTTGGGTTTCAGGTTTGGAATGCTAATATAGGGGCCTTAATACGGTTTTGGGGCCCATTATACTATAATTATAGTAAGGAGCCCTCAAAATAGTTTTGGTAATTATTTAGGCCCCTACATTGGGGCATTGAGGGCGTCAGGCGGAGTTGATTCTTACAGGGAATGCAAAGTTTCGGGCACGCTGTTGGAGTTTGTGGAGAACATTTTTCTCAAGCAAACCCTAAAGCCTAAACCCTAAACCCGAAAGCAAAAAACCCTAAACCCCCAAACCCTAAACCCTAAAACCCTAAACCCTAAAACCCTAAAACCCTAAACCCTAAAGCCCGCACCCTAAACTAACCCCTAAATGCCGGTGCCCAGGGCCTAGGCTTGCGCTGATGCACCGCAAGCTGCCCCAAATAAGTCCCAGAGCCTTCCACCCCAAAGGCCTGGGCTTGTGAGTAGTACCCGACCCCAATATCCCTTAATTAAGGAACATACCTTAAAGTATAGTAGGATCCCTCATGATATGATTTAAGGTAGATTCCGTAATTAATGGATATTGGAGTTTCTGGGTAACCTCATCTCCAGAAGTCCCTGAGCCAGTTCCAGCCCTGTTTCAAAAAGTAAGGCACGAAAGACAATTCCTCTTCGCAAGCCATATAGCTCTTGGTATCCTTTACAATACCCTTTTGGTAACCCTTGTAGTATCCCTTCTATTTATCCTTTTAGAGCCCTTAACAAATTAGCTAACTTTAATTCGAACTCGGATCAAGCCCTATAAGACCTTGAAAGAAACCCTTGAACACACACTTTCAAACAAGCACCGTGCAATTTCGCTGAAACCCCACCGGAATCCACCTTTTTCAGGAGCCCTTAAGGGATCTATAAGGGCTCCCTTGAAGAGGTTCCTTAAAAGAGATCTAGAAAGGGTGCTCTTAAACCCTAAACCCTAAACCATAGACCCCAAACCGTAAATCCTAAACCCGAACCCCTGAACCCTAACCTTCTTAAGGGGTTCCTTGATGGCACGTAAAGGATCATGGGACTTAGTAAGTAGGGTTATAACTAAGGTAGCTATACTTATAACCCCAATTAGGGGACTTATAACCTTACTTACTAAGTCCCATGATCCTCCTTAAACTCACCCTAAACCCAAAACCCAAAACCCTAAACCCTAAACCCCTAAACCCTAAACCCCTAAACCCTAAACCCTAAACCCTAACCTTGCAGCCCATTGGAT